ACTGTCCGGCTGTCCACCTTCAGCATGAGAATAGCACCAGGTGCTATTCCGGCCTAATATTTACATACCGCTGCTGAGTTCGGTGAGCTGGAGCGATTGTTGGTTTGTCGGGATTCGCGCCCTAGAAACGCAGCGAAGCTGACAAAACTTTTAGTCACCTTTCGCATAACTTAACTGGTCGATACAAACTACTGCCGGTCGAAGGAGTAACAATCGTTAGAGGTCATGCAAATCCTTCGGAAGCACTGCGGAAAGAAGGCGAAGGAGGGCTAATGTCTTGGAAGACAGCGGAAAGACGGGGAGGAAGAAGGGGATCATTGCGAGTGATTCAAAGCTTAAAGACCAGCACATGCAAACACAAGAATTTATGTTATGCGCCGAATTTTTTTGGGTCGCTCACAAAAAAGGCGGAATGAAAACCGAGCTGGAGCGCTTATCAGCAGAAACGATCGGTGACAAGGCAGCAGTGCAAACGTATCACTGCCGAAGATCGTTTTGTCGAGTGCAGATATGCAAACACTCAAATTTGGACACCGGAAGATCTGTTTTGTTGATAATAACAATAACGGTAAGGGAAAATTGCTTGCTTACGCGCAGGTACCTTTTCGATTCGAGCTTCCACTCGATTTGCGTCACAGTGGCACGATCACAAAGTCCTGCGGAGGAACCACAAAAGGCAACCATTGCAATGGCAAATAGCGGCTATCAAAATCCGAGTAAGCAGATATCGTCATAAGACCAGAAACCAGCCGAAGTGGAATGAAAAAGAGCTGGGAACAATTGAAAGAATGAGATTTTTTGGACCGCTCGAGCTTGAATAAAATGTGGACTCACCCACTGCGGCCTGATCATCAGAAATGCATGGCGTTCTTTTAAGTACCATTGCTGGAAACAGGGGAATAATTTATACCATTCGACCTCAGCCACATGAACAAGTGCTTCGCCTTCAGTGAGGTCACGGTACTAAGTTCGACAGTGCTGGGGACTTGACACAAAAGAAGTAACTGCGGCGTTTAGCGACGACTTCATATGAAATCGTTAAGACCAGAAATTTGATTTGCTTGAATTGAAAATCGTGGAAGCAGCAGCATCATCGCCCAGGAAATGGAAACAAAATGTTGACAAATTTAGCATTTTTGAAAAAATTTATTAATCAGAGAAAGGGAGA